TCACTTCTTGGCGAGCCCCGGGGATCCATAACGGATATGTGTGTACCCCTGATCCGCTCTTAATAACGCAATAATACTTCATCATCTTTCCATTTCTCCTTTGCTTCTATTGCACCCTAAACTACTCTTTCTGTGCCATCTACTAACACCTTACTACAAACCCCCTGACTTGTCTTATTGCCTGCTATTCTTCTAACCCCTATGGTAAAATCTATTGTGTCCGTCTATGCACCTCCCTGATATAATTTGCCATTATTGGTCTTGTTCTACCTTATTTGCTGTATCCTCACCCTTTTACCCTTTGCTTGGCTTCTTCGTTCCATCTTGCCTCTATTTCCGCTGCTTTCTCTTCCTATTATCTTCATCTTCAATTTACCTGGCCGCAAACGGCTACTGTCGGTCTAATTTAAATCTCTTGTCTGCCGCCGCTACTGCTTTCTTAATCCCAATCCCCACCCTACTATCCGGGCATTTATCCCTATACAATTAACCTTACGTTCGCTACACCAACTCTAACAATCGCTATAATCACTATATACTTCTCCCTTGAATCAATCTCCCCTTAATCCTCATCAAACCAATCCATCAACATACTCATCCCAACACACATGTCATTCGTCTCCATTCCTCCCCAATCTTTACGTCTGCGTCCACCAATACGTAACAAATCATCCACCCCAACCTCTTTTCCTTCTTCTGTTTTGCCTATCTGCCGGAAAATATATTCCAATACATCCCTTGCCCTTGATAACCCTGCGCCAATGACCTTCGCCATGATATCTGGATATTGGCACTGTTCTCCTGCGATCCGTCGAAATTTCCCACCATCTCCATATATGTCCTCCCAACGGTTGCAAATTCGATATGGCAATCCACATTCCCAACATCCACAATACCTTTCGAATGATCCCTTTCGGCCCATCCATTCTTGTATTTGCTTCACACCTCTCTCAATTCCCTCGAAAACGCCCTTGTCGTGTGCTTCTAACGGGCATAACCCTTCATGGTCGTCCTCGCCGCTGGTCATTCGGCAATATATACAACCCTCGCTCCAACTGGCCAACTGCCTCTCGAATATCTCCGTCAATAATGTGTTATCTCGGATCCTCTCGCTCTCCTTCCAAATCGCAAACTCCTGGTCTCGTTCCTGCATGTATATCTCCATGCTGGTTTCTTGAACCTCTGCCCCTTCCCTTCTCTCTGCAACCTGCTCTTGTGGTGCCTTTTCCTCGTCGTCGCCAAACGTCCAACCCTCCCTCTCGGGTGATGGTGCCCTTGGTAATGCACCACCAACTTGAACTGCTCTGTTTTCCTCTATTCGGCGCCTTTTATGCTCTCGGTCATGCTCTGTTCCATTCCCTTCCTCGTCTGTGGCCTCGTTGGTTATGCTTTCCGGACCCATCATTTGCCGGATTGCCATAACGTTGCTTTCTTGTACGTGCCCGCCTCGAATACATACGTCGCACATCTCTTCGTCGTCCTGGCATCCACCCTCTCGTATGCGTCCGTCCATTGCCTTGTCCAACACAAATCGTCGGCACCGTGTCCCTCGTATATATTCCACCATCTCTTCATCTCGAACGCTCTGGGCTGCTTGTGTAAACCCTTGCTGCCCCTTCATTGCCTTGCAAATTATGGTCGATGTGCCCTGCCTGCCATCCCGACCCAACCGTCCACTTTCCTGTGCGAATGCCCGGACCTGGTACGGTATACCTACATGGATCACGAACCGTACATCTGGCACGTTGATCCCTAAACCCAATGCATTGGTCGCCACGATCAACCGCTTGGTCGTCATCCACGACTGCATCCGCCGCCGCTTTTCCTCTCGACTTCCTGCCTTGCTATTATATGCATCCACGCCCAATACTTTGGCCAACTCTTTGGTCCGTGTAACGGTGCTGGCATATATAATTACACGCCCTTCTTTATTCTCTTTAATCCAATCTCGTTACATTACGCTGAAGAGGTGAGACCGGAAATGCCGAAAGTGTGCCGGATTTACCACTGGTAGCCTAAGAATCTTTACTTGTACCTAAGATGCAGGGGGTTTAAGCATAAAGTGGGCATGCGCCAAGAGAATTAGTTAGTCTCTGGTTAGCAATACAGCGCATGGTTTTAATACTGCATAAAATGAGATATTGTCAGAAGTACGGTCACATAAGGCGTCACTGTAAGATTGAATGGTGTATAGGCATTAGCCCAGTGTATTCACTCATGTCTGTTCTATTATGATCCTATCCCTCCTCTCTCCTCTTTGGATGCACTTAAATGTGCCCCAAGCGATACGCCCCTGTATGCACTTCTCCGGTGAGAGTGGGGTTATGAAAGCCTAGTTGTGCAACACCTGACAAAAATGGCTTAGGCGGCGGGCTGCGCCTTGGTATACATATTGATGGCGACTGAATCAGTCGGAAGAAGCATGTCACGCACTCAAGCAAAGAGGATGCTTTCTTGCAGCTGCCAAACATGCTGATCCACCACAGGACCCGTACATATGACGCCACTGTCGTGTCAAAGACCGGGCTGTAACGGGCTGAGCCCGGTGTGGTTCGGTTTGTACTCTCGCCTTCTGCTTCGGCTTGCCGGCCGCGTCCCGCAATACATGCGAACACGCGTTGAGCTCAAGAGCTCCTCAAACTCTCATTTTCCTGTTCTGTTTTCTCTTTCTTCTTTAACGTTAGATAATCGTAGTAGTCGCTTAGCCAGCTGTCAATATACTCAGCTTGGACCGTTATAGTTCAAGACTTGGTTGTCAATCGTACATGCCTGGTAGTGCCTGCAAGTCTTTCGGCAACAATCCTAGTTTTCATGCATTTGTACTTGAATAATGCATGATGCAGTGCTTGACTTGGCGTCCGCAATGGCCTGATGTTAATAAGAAGGCTACAATGGATGACCTGAGACAGCGGTCGAGGCAACGAACAAGGCCAAGCGAGGGGTAAAATTACAGGCAGTTACTATGCGGGCCTTGCAAAGGTAATATTTGTTGGAATGTTAGTGACTCAATGTACGCAGCCACACTGTACAATGTATACTGGTTAGTGTATTTAGTAGGGCTTCTCCCACTGTCATGTCAAATCAAGTCGTCAACTCCACAATCATTGTCAACAATATTAAAGCTAGGAAGGTAAATACCTAAAGCACAGTGCATGCTTAAAGAAGTATTATAGTACGGTTACTGTCTTATTTTTCTTTACGAAGCAAACACTCAAGATATTTAATACTTCGAAATTACTGCTGCCTGCTGGAAGCAGTATTCCCGTATTACGATTACTGTTGCCACCCAGGGCCTAGGCGGCAAAACGATTGCGTGTTCAATTAACAAAAGCACCATTATCCGACAACACAGCCTTGGAATGAGTGCGGGATTTGGCAAGCAAACCAAGTTTAGAGTCTCGGGTCATGGGTCTGAGGTCGTGAGTCTGGTATACAGCGTGAATGCATAAATGTAACGAGGTCCTCAACTGGAGTACTAAGTGCTGTCGTCCAAGCGAAATATCATGATAGTCGTTTATGCGACTGTGAAGGCCAAATTCCCTAACAAATCGGTGGGCCGGCTCCGAGCAGTCGTAATTCCAGCACCCCTTCATGGCTGACTTGTTGCTTAAACTCTATAAAAGCTGTGATGCAGGCGGTAATATTCATGATAGAAGGCTGCCAAGCTTATGCGTGTGGCGTCTTGTAGCACGGCCTTCGGCGTTTCTCTGTATGGGACGTAGTCTAATTAAAGTGGGGCGTGGCACGAGTACTCGTATCAAGAAACGGAAACCGGCATTCTCGACGGCCGACAATTGCCCAATCGGAGCTTGGAGATGACACCTAACTTTCCCTTTCGGGTAGTCTTGACAAAACCGGAGAAGCCACCTAACACTTCGTGGAACAATAATCTACCCCTTTGGAACGGCATCGCCGATGGCGACGACGATTGGCCAATCGGAACTGGGGGATAGCGACCAATTCTCCCTTTCGGGTAGTTTTGACAGAAACGGAAAGGTCGCCTGGCACTCCGTCTCACGGGTGCATGTCCTGACTCCACAAAGAGCTTAAAATATGGAGCCGCATTCCCCGCTTCACTCTTCCCAATGTCTTCGCCCCCACGTATTATCCCGGGCTAGCTGTGGACCCGGGCTCCGCCGGAACTTCGGCGCCGGACCAGTTTCTTGAGACGAACACTTGTCAGATTGTTGCGCTGCCAGTGATGAACCGCACTGTGTGCAGCCGCCACCTTTCGCAAGATTCAATCAGAATGCTGCTGCCTGGAAGGCAGCAGTATAACAGAAGTATTTATGATTGCATCATTCTACTGTACTCTTCGAAAGAGAAGAAGAAGGATAATCAACTTAATTACATTTTGAAGATAAAACTCTCTCCGTGATTTTGTGCCGCCGTATTTCTAACAATTAAGAGTCTCATTTGCGATCTCAAGCTATTCGCGCAACCCCGATGAGATACGATGGTACCCACAGAAAAATCATGTAAAATGATCCTCCAAGGCCCAGACGAGTGGGAATCTTGGAGTGAAAAATTTAAAGCTCGAGCCATTAGCGATAATATCTGGAAATACGTCAATCCAGACACTGATGATGAACTTGAGGACGAACCGCCAATGCCAGATGTTGGTAAATACCCGAGACGACAAATTATTGACTCAGGTAATCAAGGCGCGGGACGGAGCAGGAGAGTAACGGAAGGGGATCAGTCACAGACCCTCGAATCCTCGTCCCAGCATCAATACTTCCCACAGTCATTTGAACGACCACATCCTACCCTTATGGCACGCGGTGTGCAAGACCTTCTCCCAGCAGACAGGTCAACCTATGACTTGGAAGTTAGGATCCGGACACAAGAGGTCCGAGACATCAAAGAAAAACAGACATCTATAAGTAAACTTCGCACATGGGTCGAGGAGTCCATCAGTGACCACCTCTGGACGACATGTTGCAACGCTGAAGATACAATCCGCATCTGGTACATCGGACTTAGGATCTCAGTCTGCGCCGACGAGGTCCAGCTCCGCAGCAAGGCACGCGACCGATA